TCGTTTTGTTATTTTCAAATTATAATTATTTGGGATTCTTAATAATGTTTTATATGTATATTGAAAATGTATTGTTGATTAGAAAAAAATAACGAACTTTAATTTTAATAGAATATATTATATGGATAATTTATAACATTGAAGTATTTTACAGCTGTCAAATATTATCTTATAAATTATGATTGTTAGTTTAAATATAAGCTACATAAGGTTAAGAATAAGTTTTTACATTTTTAGTGCTTATGATTTAATTGATTATTAAATATTACTTATTATTATGATATAATTTAACTATACTAATTGAATATGCCACTTCCATTTGGTCTCCATCAAAGTATCTCCTTTCAGTGGTCCACACTATTATTTTAATACATAGAGTCGAACATGTTCAAAACTCTTTTCTGCAATTTTTGTCTTCCAAAGTAAAATCCAGAGATTCCCATTGTATTATAATTAATTTTAAAATATTGAAGAATATATCTAAATCTCTATTTTCTACAAAAATTAATAAATAATAAAATAAACCATGCAGTAGTAATAAGTAATAACTAGTAAAAAACTTAAATTTAAAATGTATAAAAAATAAAAATAAATAAAAACACTTTTAGAATATGCTTGTATATGCTTGTAGTTCTTACCTAATCTGATTGGAGTTATACATTCACTAGTTAATAAATTACCGACAACGGGTAGATAGGTACTAGGTAATTCAGTAGTATATTCATATCGATATATATAATTGAAACGTTTATGATAAAAAACAACATTGTAAGTATTCTTTTATAATCAACATTATTATTTTATCTTGTATGTTTGATATATTATTACGTATTTTAATTCTAAATAATACTGTAATAAGTAAACAGGGTTTGAACTCCGTGAATAAATACATTGTTTGTTAAACATAGATCATATAATAATTGTTATTATAATTTATAGTATAATATATTCACAATTAATCCTCAGATTGAGTTTCTAACTTCTCCATAATTTTTCTAATGTTAACATTTTATTGAGAAAAATTGATCTCCAAAGTCATCATTTGAACTCGATCTATTGCAATGCTATACATGAGACTTCTTTCTCTCAAAAAATTATGCACTGAAAAGGTTTAAAAAATAATAAATTATTGTAAATGTTTATTTTAATAATTTTGTATAACTATTTTTTTCTTGCTACTAGTGGAAGGGAGGGGGGGGATGTTGTAGGAAAAAATCAGAAATCGGAGTTGATTAAGTATATAATGAATTGAATCTTAAAAAACTGTCTTTGATCATACATAAAACTATTCTCGTCGCTTTTACCATCAGCCATCAGACAGTACCCATATTATATCAACAATGAAATTAAAAATGCATTCATATAATGGTGTAAGTTACTAAGTTCTAATATTGTCATGATGAAAATAGTATTAGTACTTAGTACTATATACTTATACTAATACCTAGTATTAGTAGTATTAATTAGTTTCGATTATAGATTGTCATCTGGTGGAATGTGCATATTGATATGATTTAGTTATTAGTTGTAAGTTTAAGATCTGTCGTCTTTAAGATGTACACGTTAAATAAAATCTTACCTATTGAAGTGGTGAGCACTATTTATCAAGCATTGTAGAAATCTATTTTATTGTATAATTGAACAGTCTGAGTGGTTTGTGCAAATAATCCAGAGAAAACTTTAGAAGTACAAAAAAATTCTAATTGTACTAATATATTCAAATAAAAAGATATATGAGGACCCTCCACACAAAATTATATAGAACTTAATGTACTTCCAAATCTCTGTACAATCAATTTGCCACATTATACGAGTCAAATAAAGTTGCGAGTAAACACGTCAACACAAGTGAAATTATATATAGTGCATGAAATTATATATAGTGCATGAAATTATGGTAAGCAAAAAAATTTGATAATATCATTGATTATCTAAGTCCAACTATGTTTAATCCTATGCCATTACATCCTAAAAAAATGTTATTCGTAATTTAAATAAAAAACAAAGTAATTTATGTAATACAAATAATTACATTTAATAACTTAATGTGAAACTTATAAACTATAGTTGTATTTATTTTGTATAGGAATTAATATATTTATCTTAAGTTTTGTATTTTTCTAAACATTTGTTCTATTTGTTGTATCTCATTTACATGAAGTAACCATTTATTTTTACATATCAAATTTTATTTTTAATGATATAATTTTATTTTCTAAAATAAAATTTAAATGTAGGTAAGGAAAGTGGTTATATTTTTAACTTTCTCAAAAGTTAGATTTATTTATAAACATATATGAATACATTTTTAATTCATATTAATAATTGGCATTAAAAAAATAAAAATACTTTTTCAAAGATTATACTGCATTTAATGGTCTTGTGATGTTAAACATTTAAGTTTTAGAATAACCAATGTTTCATATTCAAAGTTTTGTGCACAGTAAATTTGTTTAATACTTACAAAACTTAATTGGTGTAGTATAATATACAGTACCAACTTTTATTTTCGAAATATAGAAACATCTAATTTTGATTGCATGTTACAATAAAGTATAGATTATTTTTATGAACCATTTAGGGTATCACAATCCAATTTTGAACAAATAGTTAACAAGCTATTCTGTACAAAGTTTCTGAGTGGAGGGTATAAAGATGTTACAACTTAAAATTAATGTCCAGACAAACGAATAGTTTTACCTTCCTACACTAAAAAATTACTTTCCATTTTATTAATATAAAATATGAATGCATATTTCACGAGGCGTTTATTAAAAACTGAGTTTAATTTTTAATTTTTTTCATCAGCCACTGCCACGGTACTTTTTTTACGATTATTTTATATACTAAGTATGATTACAATTTAAAATAACTTAGACAGATTTGTTGAAATGATTATTACATTTTAATTAAATTACTGGTTGTATTATAAATTATGAACGCGTTAAACTGATTTTTTTTTTTAAGTAAGTATATAATTTTTAATTAAGCTTCAATTTGTTAAAGCAGTAATTAAAAAATTATTTAAAATTATTTAAAAAATTGTCATTTGTTAATAATTTTTAAATAATCAGCTTATTGTGACTTCTGAGTTATGAGTGTATAAATATTTGTACTTGAGTGGTTCACTAAAACACATCAAAACAATCTGTGGGGTAATAGTTACCAATTACTATACATTTTTGTGTGTAGTTTTATGTAGGTGCTCACAAGGATATAATCATAGTTCATGTCTGATAGATTGATCCTAATCATTTCGAGTAAACAACTATTTTATTTTTATTTGAAATAATTTCTTAATAATTATATTTTACTAATTTTACTGTTTATCGAAGTGTGTGATTGTATGTAAATTTATGATCATTGGTTTGATGCACAGTAAATCAAACTTTTGTTTTAATACAATTTATATAGCTTATGATGTTTACAAAGTTGCCGCAGTTATGCATTTTTTCATGTGTTTCACATTATATTTTTGTCATGTACTCAGTATGCAGTATTTGTTATGTTATACTGATAATCAATATGCTGCAGAAAAAGTTTGTATACTTTTTCTCAGAGCGTCTAATTTGATTTTAATATATTTTAATTGTATCAGTTACATTTTAAATTAAAATCTTCTCGAATTAAAATTATTACATTATGATAAACTTATCGCCTATACAATTTATTATAATATACACGTTATTTATATTATATTTATTAATATTTTTCTGCTTTAAATTTTTCAAAATAATTTTTATTATTTAATATCTATTACTTTATACCATAAATAATGTATTTTTATAAATATTCTACGTATTCGTGTATTTTAGTGATTTAGCTTAGTATTGGCTCGATTATCAATGGAATCTCTCCTTGGATCGAATTTCATAAATGATGGTTGATTGTTGACATTACTGTATGCTTTTACTTATTTTTGATTTCTATTGTTAGTATAGCTTAGTTATATGTATAAGTGTAGTATTATTAAGTTTTAGCTATTTAATTACCAAATGGTTGAGTGGGTATAGGATTTCCGTAATTCAATTTATAACAATTTATATTGAAGAACAGTCCCCAGAATCAATGGTCTCAGTATATACTACAATAATATAGCTGGTACTCAAGTATAGGTAGGTACTTACACATTGCAGTAGACTACGTATTTCATTACATTTATGAGTTACTCGTTAAACATTTGATATGTTTGGAATTATGTATTATTTGAGAATTATTTTTCGAAAACTTTTAACTTTAGGTTTTTTTTAATCAAAATCGTAATATTTCGAGAAAATGTGTCGCGTTACAATATTATGTATAATAGTTTATACTCTATTGGCTAATATTTATATTATAAATGTAATAATATGTAAAATAACTCATAAGCAAAAGATAATGTAGAGTTGTCTACAGTTAAAATATAAAGCTATTCAGTTAATAAGTATTCAGTGACTAAAAATAAATGTTGAATCATTATGAATAAATGTCATTCAATTATTTTGAATGCGATTATAAATAGTTGTGTGGCCAGGTGTGGTTAAATGTATAAAATAATAATAATAATAATAATAATAATAGTGAAAATATACAAAACGTGTTGGAACAATAAGAAACACATTATTTGTGACAAAAATTGAATCGGTGTAGCAGGTGTAGCCGTGTAGGTATCTAATATCTATATTTCATAGAGATATCTTATTATACATTTGGTTATTTTTGAATTTTTTTCCCCTATTTGCTATCACCAATAGACACAATCAATTTAAGTCTAAGTAAATTTTTAAGTATAGATTATAGTTAAGTATTCGAGTAGGTATATAGAAGAGTTGACAGGATTTAGACATATAATTGGATTAAAACCTAATTCAATTAACTTATGGCAATCGTTTTTGCCCACAATGTTTCGCTTAAAGATATTTTGGTGCTCTGTTTAAAGAAAGGTTATTCTATGGTTATCATTAAAATATGAATATAATAATATACACATAATATAATGTTGGTTTTTCTTTTTGTTTAAGGTACATCAGGTGGCAGACGACAGCATTGTCCGTGGTGCAAAAGAGCGTCTGGCGCGCTCCCCTTACCGGCGTCCTCGTCGTCCTCGTCGTCCTCGTCTTCATCGTCGTCCTCGTCTTCATCATCGTCATCGTCATCTTCGTCCTCGTCGGCGGCGACTTCCGGTATCAACCGACACCACCATCGGCGGAAGCACCGTCCGCGAGGCCGACGGCATTACGACAGCGCCACCAGGTCTAGCCTGGACAAACAGCGGATAGAGGCGATCAAAGAACAGATACTGTCCAAGCTAGGAATGACCTCAAAACCGAATATCACTAAGGCGCGGTCAACGAGGTTCCTGGTGGAAGCGCTGGCCGTCGAACCGCTGTCCGGGCTGACTGCCGCCGACCCGGACGCTGCCGCCGCAGCCGGTAATACACTGCCACCGAGTACACGGTTACCGACCACCAGAGACGCCGATTCGGAGCCCGACGATTTTTACGGCCGCACCAGAGAGATCATCGGATTTGCGGAACCAGGTGAGTGCCTGAAAGCTCATTATACTATTATGATTACCGTCATTATCGTACTCACACCTACGTAATATATTATAATCCCGAATCTCATCAAATAATAATAATATAGCCCACCCGAGTAGTGGGCTAGGGCTGCAGAGGAAATTTCGTCCGGACGACCATAAAGAGATGTGGTATGAGGCTGCACTATACTATATTATAGTAATAGTTGTATAGTTGTATGTATAGTTAATATCCACTCGTTCCTAAATCACGTCGTTTAGATGTCTTCGAACTCGTTAATATGTCAGTAGACGCATAAAAATTGTAAATATTTTCGTAATAAAAAAATAATAATAATAATAATAATAAAACAACAATATCAAATAAAAAAAAAATAATTACACGTTCAGCCAGTTCACACGGTAACTGCATACGTACACCGTTTTCCGTTTGTCGCGCTGGTATATAATAATAATTACACCATGTTTTACATTATAAGCGCCTGCTTAGTAGCGTAATAATAATAATAGTTTATCTTTATTGTATTTTCTTAAATTTGATTTATTTGAAACACCGTGTAATAGCATAGCCCCCCGGCCATACAAGTCATTGGCTTCTGGCCTGCGACCCGTGCATAGTATTATAATGTATAGGTAGTAGGTACGACGTACCTTTTATCTTATACGAATAGTAAAAAATTACCTAATCGAAAAAAAAAATATGAAAATAAATGAACACCTATTAGGTACGATGCATTAGCAAGATATCACGAACCAATGACTTTGGGAAAAATATAACAATTGTTTCAATAGCATTTTGAAATATCACTTTTTTTATGTCAGGACGATAACTCATCTAATTCAGCTATGCATTCTATATATCAACTAAAATTCCATTTAACTTTGACTGCAGTAGAAATATTTCTAAGCGAGTTTTGATTTCATTTAAAAATGGGTCAGGTCTGTTGGAACAAGTTTGAAAAGAATAACAGTATTTTATGTTTAACAGTGTTACACATTATTGTAGACAAATTACTCTATACACACATTTTTCATTTAATTTAATTTTCAATCACATATTTATGTCCAAGGATAGTATTGTTCTTTCATTTACATTTTATTTTTTTTAAGTGCAACATTTGTCTAACAATAAGCTCTGTAAACGTATGGCTTATTAAAAAAAAAAAATTTTACTTCGCTTGACACTTTTGTTTGCAAAACTATTTAAGCATAGAAAAGGTTAACTAAATTATAATGTTGTAGATAGGTAATGTATCTGAACGTCAAACAATTTAAGTTTTATAGTTTATGTGTACGTTAAAATAAAGCACATTACTACATCAGTCATCACATTAATATTTGTTGATAAAGTCAAATTCCAACAATAACTAATACGTTATGGTTTTATTCTAAATATTTATGTATTTATTCGTTTATAAACATAAATCACAATAAATGGATATCCTGTGAAGTAAAAAAATTGAGAATCCCTGGGTGAAAGTCAAAATTGGCTTCCACTTTTACGACGTTATAAATTATGCAATTGTTAACACTTTTGGATTAAATTTAAAAAATGTAGTACTGCTTTTTTGTGCCATTTTACGTTTGTAGACATAGTAGTTGTTTAAACTTTTTAAATAAAAATACATTATTAAATTGAAACATTGAAGTTCTCGGAACTTTTTGTATAAAAATTGAATTTGTGATTTTTTCATGTTTGTAAAAAATGCAAAACAAATATCGAAGGGTATTAAATAGATAACGATATTATTTTCAAATGTCGCGAACTCGCGAATAACGTCATCTTGCATACTATTATTATATTGACGAAAAGATATTATACAGAAATGCGTGTTTAGGCATTTTTCCATCTACAGAAAATGATTCTGAGAATACTATCGTGACTCGTGAGCATTCTAGAGATGTTTATGGTACGTAATAAACATCCAAATGGAAAAGTTTTCACTGAACAAATAGTAAAAACAATCGGAGCGTATTATATATGTATGTATAAATTATATTTTGCCCTTCTGTACGATTTGCGTTTTATCGTAAGCTCGTGCGAGCTGTACGGCCTGCCCAAGGTACGTGATAAAACAATGCGTATAATACAGTAATATTATAGGGTAATGATGGATCGATGTGCGGCAGCCTGTACACAATGACACGATGTAGGCAAGTAATTGTTTAGTACATCAGTACATGACATTTAAAATGAATCCATACAATTTGAATGAACACAATTTTTTAACAAATTTTTTACAAACGACTTGTGAAAATAATTCCGTTTGTAATTTGTCTGCAATAAGTGTTTCATATTTGATGGCATACGATTATACTATTATATTGTATGATATAATATAATAAATAATATTTATTTAAAAATGTGTATATTATTGTGGTATATTAATTCGGTTAGCTCATTAACATTATGTGAAATTAATAATTATTTATATTTATAATAACCGTTTTAAAAATAACATATAATTGCAATCTGTATAGGTACAAGATAATTATTGACAAGTATTAAAACGGAGTGGGTATTTTAATTTGAGATTTATCGCCTGAATAATTTTACACATACATATCCAATTACCATCATGCTATCAACGTGATCGGTAAATACAATATAATCCACTTATAATTGATTGAAAACTAATAAACACACTGGCGTGAGCTGATTATTATCGTAAAAAACACTCATGTAAATTGACATTAAAGCACTAATGTATACCGATTAACATTTTAGTAATAATACACTACATCCATATATTATTCAAAAAATACAACGCGCGGGCACTACATTAAGTCCCATCTACCGTCGGCGAGATTACACGCACTATATTTACACGGCGTGTAAAATATGCCTACACAAATGAAGTTGAGTTATTTGAAAAAAATAAATACATTTTCGAACGTTTCGGTGAATATTCACAATCGTCCATCGCGTGCCGTGTGATATACTACCACTTTATACAGACGGTTTAAGCTCCGTTTGTAGTTTGACGCTCAATTTATAACATTTATATATCTATCCGAAAAAACAACAAACGGACGTAGGTATACGGCTAGATCAAAGTGTGAATGAATCGGTTTCCCCGACTAGGAAAAAAAAATAATGATGACTGGAAAAATTAAATTCGAAGTGGTATAGGAACCGAAAACATAATCAACATAAAAGCAATAATTATGGATTGTCCGATATAGGCACTTAACCTATAAGTTATCGTGAAATTAGTTTTTAAATATTAGGCACGCTTTGATAATTATTTATTATGTAAGTACTTTATTGTTCGTTTCAAAACAATAATAATATCAGGATGCAGGGGCGTTATTGGCTGGATGCAGTTGTGCACTTGCATGCCATAGATTACATCATAGATCCCATACTATACAGATTTGTTATTGAAATTGATAACACTTGTATAACACTAGCAATAACACCAGTAATAACGATCGTTTTTTTTTTTTTTTTTAAATGAATTGTTTTTGAATTTAAATACTTTTAAGCTATACATATGTATTGAAGATTTTAAGTAAAACGTATTATATAATTTAATTTTACTACCTATAGTACCTACTTATAGCACTTAATATTCTAAATTTCTTTTGAATTTTATAATGTTTAATGAATTTTAATTGAAAATGTTTTCATTAATCTATGTATTTACATACCTATAGTCGTTTCTTTTATGTTAAAAAAAAGTGATTAATTATTAAAATTTCGTTAGGTATGCTTAAGAACAATTTTTAATTTTAAGGTACCTATTTTGAGAACGGTTTTGATTGTGGTTGCCAGTTAGCTATTGGTAAATTTCTGTAACAGTATTTTCTTAAAACACCAAATTTTTTCTTGTTAAAAATAATATGGACCTACAACTATTATTTAATTCTAATCGCCAAACATATTTATTATTTTGGATTACATTTTGTATTGTTTTTTGATGTAAATACATTTTTTTGAACTTAAATCGTTTCTTATTTTATCGACAAATATCGATATTATAATTTCGTTTTATATTATTGCGACCTATACAGTATACATTATAGTCGGATGGCACAGTTTCTTCCGAAACCCTATCGCAAGAGTCAAAATCTTTAACGTGCAACGGCGTACCCACTGATGGCGGTTAAATTACGCTCACACGAGCAGAAAAAAATCTAAATATATTTTAATTAAAAAAAATTTCGCTTTGGTAGCCGCTAGTCGAATTTGACGTCTGCGAACGAGACGCGTTACGACTTACCGGGTGCGCGAGCAAAGTGAAAACGCCGCCGCGCCGCCGCCGGGTCCCAGGACACCCATCGCTCCTCCTCCTCTTCATTCTCGTATATCCCGACATCGGCCGCCGGGCTCATACTAGTACCAAAATAATATAATATGTATAGCATAAAATATTATTCTTGCAAACGATATTTCTATACATAATATTGCTGACGGGCCAGTGTTCGGCGTTAGCTTTTGGTAAGCGCATACCTGGTATATAGTTATACATACCTTATACCTAACATAAGTCGTATAATAACCTATATTGTAACGGTCGGTCCTCAAAATTATTTACAAGTGCGTTTCTCATCTGCACGTCGCCAATTTCAATAAATGCTCACACGATCTGCAGTATTTATGTACATGTTTATCTATTACCCACCTTGATTTATTTCGGCTCATCTAACTTAACTTTTATCTAGATTCTAGACAAATGTGAATTTATCTTAGTAAGTTATCTGTAACTATGCCTAAAAATATGGAGACTGATGTATACGGTGGATTAGAAAACAAACTAAAAAAGTATAACAATTTGAAATGTTACCATCTTGAGAAAAATGTATAACGATTTTCAAATTAAGCATGACAGTGTACGGCTAGTTCTGCTTATGGCCGCTGATGGCAATAAGTGCGATATTTTTCATAATAATAATATCATGTTCGATTTGTCCTATGGATTATTTACAGAAGACATTGCTCCAACCTGGCTGATAACTTTCTTTTCCAGTTGTGGGGCGGGGGGAGGAGGAGGAGGA